GGCGGGGCTTCCCGGCGGGCTCCTCCCGCCGCCCACCTGCCCCGCCCTGTCCCCGGCCGCTCGGCGCTTCCTCCATGGGTGAGTGCGGGGCCCCCGAGCGGCCCCGCGGAGCAGGCCTGCCGGTCGGACTGCCTCCGCGCCGGCTCGAGGAGGGGCGCGGGCGGGGGGCGCCGCGGGCCGGAGGGCCGGCAGGGCGGGCGCGGGGAGCCGTGGGGAGCCAGGGCGCACTCCTTACCCTGCTCTGGGGAAGGCCCGCTCAAGGTGGGAGGTGGACGCCGGTGTCGAAATCGGGGCGGTGGGGGTCCGCACTCTGCCCCCATGTTGGGGCCCGCTTCAGCAGCATCTAGCCCTGCAGGCTGGCTGGGGCGGGCAGCCTCTCTGCCCCTTCCCTGCCCCCCTCCGCTGCTGCGCCCCAGCCCCTGGGAAGAGAGGCAGCTAGGAGGGGGCCAAATTCCGGGTCAAAGATGGACCGTGGGGAAAGGGGACACCCCGGCCCTTTGAGGAGGAGTCCGTCCACAGAGGCTGAGATGTGGAGGGCAGGGGTGAGAAGGGATCTCGGACCCGGCAGCCGGCAGCCGTAAGGGGATCCCCCGGGAGTCTGGAGCCCCGCAAGGTCACTGAGCTACTCCCGCCCCCCACTAGTGGGACAGAGGGAGGGAGCCGCTTATTTCCAAAGACGTTTTCTCCCCGTGGAATCTGGATAATTTCCCTGGGGAACTGCAACAAGAAAAGGACTCTGCAAACAGATTCCCGTGCAGATAAGTTGGCATTTAAAAGAGAAAGGGACACTGACCTCCTTTGAAGGGAGGATTGAGGAGACCGGTCCACCCATCCTCTAGTGTGGAGGCCACCGGGGGCCCCAGGGCCGCCAGGGTGCCCCCAGCCTGGGGCGCAGCTTCCCTGGGCCCCACCCGACTGATAACCACTGCTTCTCTCCTCTGCAGACGACCAGAGCCTGGCGGAGGAGAAAGGACTGCGCTGTCAGAACCCAGACTGCATGGACAAGGGGCGCGCAGCCAAGGTAGGGAGGCTGGAGGGCCTGGGTTGCCGGGAGCAGAGGGGACAGCGCTCTGACCCTCTCTCTCTCCAGGCATGGATACCCACAGGGCCCTGGCAAGGGTGCAGCTGGCCCAGCTACGGTGTCATCTGGGTTCACGTGTGGGTAGGGCCCTGGTTTTGGAGGCAGAGGGCCTGCCCTTGGCTCAGAAACAGCAAAATGGAGGGGCCTTCTGCTAGCCGGGGAAGCAGGGGTGCCCCAGAGCCCTTTCCTGCGCTGCAGTCCTTGCAGCCACGCTGAGGTGATGGGAGCTGTGGCCTCATGTCACAGATGAGGAAGCTGAGACCCAGGAAGGGAAGGGCCACCCCCAGCCGGAGGTTTCGCTCCAGTGCTCAGTTGGCACCCTTCCTACAGCATTGGGCCACTAGTCAGGCCTGGGCATGGATTGGGGACACTTAGGGTAGTGGGTGATAGTGACTGTGCTGTGGAATGACAAAGGGAAGAAGGGACAACTGGTCCTGAAGGGCCAGGACTTGGGAGCCGGGAGCAGGGCAGAACGAGAGGGAGGATGATAAATATTGCCTGGCGATTCTACCCATATCGCGCCAGGCTCGGTGCCCCGTGCTCTCTGTCCCCATGTGCTGCTGGTGGCAGCTCTGCTGGGAAGGCCTGGGTGCCCCGGTTTCCAGAAGAAGAGACCAAGGTTCAGAGAGGTCCTGTGACTTGGCTGAGGCCCCACAGCTCATGAGAGACCAAGCCAGGGCTTGAACCCAAGTGTGGCCTCTTCCAGCATGCATTTCAGTGACCACGATGAAAACCTCCAGCACTTACTGGGTCAGGCCTGGGAGCGGAGGGCCCCCTGTCTCCTCCTTCTGGCCTTTGGAGGTGCGTACTGTCATCATTCTTCTTTACAGACGAAGAAACTGAGGCTCAGGGAGCTAGTGGCTCACCCAAGGACACATGGCTGGGATGTGGTGGAGCTGGGATTGGAACCCAGAGCCCAGATCTGTGTCATGGCAGAGCCTGTGTTCCAAACCGCCCTGTAGCTCAGCTCTGCCAGCTGCAGGAAATTAAAAATGCCACCCTCCCACCGCCCAGCTCCCCCTACCACCCCCCTCCACCCAGACACATGCTCATACATTCTGTACAGGAAGACCAGGTTAGAAGGAACATGGGGGACTGTTCTGGGGGCGGGGACAGGAGGGGGAGGCTTTCAGTTGCCGTGGTCACCAGGCAAGGGGGTGGCTGTGATGTCAGACACAGCGTGCTGGCTCGGCTGGTGCCTGGCACTGGGGCTCTGGTGTTGGCTGGTTGCCTCTCTCCCAGATGGGGGCTCCTGGCAACACACCGGCCTCAGCAGCCCCCAAAGTACATCCTACCAGGGGCCCTTCCTGCAGGCAGCTGCTCCTGGGCCAGGCGCCCGAGCCGCCACAGACAGGGGCAAGGGTGGGAGGTTCCTGACTGTGCAGAGGGGAGGCCTCCGAGTGGCGACCAGGTCTCAGCGAGTGTGGGCCTTCCATGGCCTCTAGGTCCTAGCTCCAGCCCAGCCCTGGCCTGCCTGGAACTCAGTGTGGCTGACATTGGCCAGAGGGTCACCCAGCCTGCAGGGGGAGAGTCCCAAGTCCTGTCCCCAGGGGGACCCCTGTTAGGACCAATGGCGCAGACTCACTTTGGGGACAGGGATGCCTGAGTGATCAGTGGCTGGGGGGCCAGTGAGGGCAGACATCTTGGAGAAGGTGGCCTCCAGTGGGGGAGAAAACAGAGAGAGGCTGAGCAGCAGACAGGACTGGCCCAGGAAGGGGGGGGCTGCCACAGACACAGGAGAGGGCAGGATACACGGGGCAAGAGGCTTGTCTTGTAAGGGGTCAAGTTGGCTGGAGCAGAGAGTGAGAAGAGAGAAGGCGATTGACATCCTGCTTTGGTGAGGAAGAGGAGCAAAGACTGTCCTTGATGGTGAGAATCACCACCACTGACCAATCAGGCTTGTGCACCAGGTAGGGCGTTAGGCCCTCATGCTTGTCTCCCTGAGCCCACAGAGACCTCAGGAGAAAAGCCTTATTCTCACGCGACGCGATGAAAATGGGCCCGGAGAGGAGAGACCTCGCCCACCTTGCACAGCCTGATGAGCAGAGCTGGGTCTGGAGGGGAATCCAGAGCCTCGTTCTCGCTCCTCCCCAGCCGAGGCTCAGAAGGCTAGCAGGATATGACTAGCTTTTTAAAGGAGATGACGTCATTTGTGCATTCACCAAACGCATCTGCTATGCCAGGCCCCGTTCTAGGCCCAGGGCCTCCTGGAGCCGACATCCTAGCTCCGCTGGGAGGAGGGGAGAAGTCAGGACATGGGTTTGCCCAACTGGTCCCCAGGCTTTGTGTTAGCCTCTCATGCGTGCTGGGGTCCCCCCCACCCCTGGAGTTCGTTCTGGGAGACAGGCTCCTGGAGGAGGCTGCTGGCGTCCTGAGGAATGAGGAGGTGTTGAGAAGTAGGAAGGTGAGTGAGCAGGGAGGCATGCTGGGGTTCTAAGGAGGGAGCCGGGCCAGGGAGTGGCAGGGGGAGGCAGAACTGGACAGGGAGCACCCTAAGGTCAGGGCTTCGGAGACCGCAGGAGAGAAGTTGTATCCCTGCCCCTCCTCAGGGTGATGGTGTGGAGAGTAGCCCACCCCTGTGAACTCTGGGGCCAAAGCCCACTCCTTCCCAGCTGTGCAGCCCTGGGCAAATCACGACACGTCTCTGACCTCAGTTTCTTCATCTGCAAGCTGAGGCTTCTCGGGTTGCGGGAAGGATGAACACGGGGCTCAGTTGTGCCGTGCTCAGCGGGGAGTGTGGTATGATGGAGGTGTTCAGGAGAATGCTGGCCGTTCACGTACCATGGAGGGGAAGAGAAACCCCTCAGCTGGGAGTGTGCCCTCCTCCCCTTCCTGAGACCTGAGGGCTCCCCGGGTTCCATCCCAGACCCCAGCTAGCCCCACCCCGTATGGCAAAGCATGGCAAAGGTTTATGGCGCGTCTGTTCTGTTCCCAGGGCAGATGGAGCTTGGAGTCTCGGGAAGGAGGGAGATGAAGGAAGTATTATTTTCCTCTCTTGTGGAGGGCCAGGCGATGACACAGTGGGTACCCAGCTCTCCTGCAAAGAGATCACAGGACAGATGGTATCTTGGCTCCCCAGCTACTGGAGGGGCCCCCTTGAGGCAGGGCTCTGGTCACAGTCTGTGCAGGGCACCGCAGGTCACCAGGGGACATGGAGAAGGGCTGACACAGGCCAAAGGGACACTGGCACATGACACTGGAGGGAATTGATTTATCCTGGAGATGGGAGCCTCAGGGTATCATCCTAAAAGGTAATGATTCTAGCAGCCGCTCTTCATTCCTGCATCCCCGCAGGAAACTCTTGTCCTCACACCCACCCTGTGCAGTAGGGACCACCCCATCTCCCCGTCTCCACCTTCCTGACAGGATACTGCGAAGAAGGGAGTTAAATGACTTGCCACGGTCAGGCCAGGACTCACACCAGATCTCTGTCCCCAGAGCCTCCCTGTTTCTAAGATCTGTCAGGAGGAAAGGGAAGTGAATTTTTCTGCCAGGCTCCAAGGGTCCTGGCAGGAGTGGGAGCTCACCCCAGTGTACAGGCTGTGATCACCCCATTCCTTTTTTTTTAAGGTAAATTTAAAATTCTCACTCAGATTTGGTGTTTGTGAGCACTCCATTCCTAGAGGTATTCAAGCAGAGAGAGTGGAGTCCCTTCCAGTTTCACAGTAGGCTGTGCGGTGGCAGGGATGAGTCAGGAGGAGGGGTGCTAGGGAGGGGTGGCCAAATGAAGACCAGTGGACACAGGCAGAGGAAGGGGTGGATCTGGGATCCTTGTGGGGAAAGAATGGGCAGGATGTGGTGAATAATGGGAGAGGGAGTCACCTATTCTCTGGATCAAGGCTTTGGGGGTGAGAGGTGGGAGGCCAGGGTGTCCTTGAGAGCGGCCAGAGTCTGGGGATTTCTGGGGGTGACTTTCAGATGCTGGTCAGCTGTAGACAGGTGGCAGTCCAGTTTGCAGCTGCGGGGAGTGGCCGGACCAGAGAAGCAAGGAGGAACTCCTTGCTTTTGGCAAAGTAATTCCCTGTGGGAGCAGTTGAGGGCATGGGGTGCCTGGCCCCGGAGGCAAGGACAGAGGAACCCCCACATGGGCTATAGCCAAGATGAGCTGTCCTGGAGTGGACCCAGCCCCAGGGAGGTCAGCACTGCCAAAGAGGGCAGCGCCTGCCAGGAGGGAGAACCGGCAGCCCCCAGGCCCGGGCCTGGCGAGAGGCATCTAGATTTGGGAAAATGGAGGTGGGCCTGAGCCCCAGATCAGCCCCAGGCCCTAGGGGCCATGCCCGCCGCACCCACCTCACCCCGTGGTGATAATTCGGGAAGGCCAAGGCGGGTGGTGTGCTTGGGGCCGGCTGCCTGACTCCTCCAGCGAGCCGCTTGTGTCCCGTGCACTCCCCGCACCCCCTGTGCAGAGGGCAGAGTTACTCTGAACTTGGGCGGCCGGGAGAGCGAGAACCGGGGAGCACCGAACGGCGGAGCGGCCCCGTTTTCAGCCAGGCCCGGCCTGGGCCAGGGGGAAAGAGGGGCGCCGAGATAGGCGGGCCCGTGGCTCCGGCGCCAGGGTCATTAAGGCCTGGGGACTTCGAACTTTCCGCACGTCTGGAAAGGGCCAGCGCCCTCGGGGCCAGTGACAGTCCCTATCCCCCGGCCCCTAGATGACCCCCAAGCTCCCGCCGCGCTTCCTGCCGCCCCCAGGGCCGCGGGCTCCGGCGCCCGCCCTCCCCCGGCTCCCAGCGCCCCCCCTCGCCCGCCGGCCGCTCCGATGGTACGTCCCGGCCCGCCCAGGTGGTAGCGCCCGCGCCGGCCTACCGTAATTCCCCTACGTCCCGCGCCCCGCGCCGGCGCTGCTCCGACTGAGCCCGCCCCGCGGCTCCGGTGCCCCCGGCTCCGCGCGGGCTCCCCCATTCCCTCCCCGCACCCAGGCTTTGGCAGTCTTGGCCAGAGCC